GTATCAAGTAGTCAACCCTTGGAAGGCTGGGCTGGCCAAGGTCTGATTTGCTAACAAGGGAAGGATGGTAGGTCGAAGTGGCCGTTTAAAATGAAATGTATACCTCCTGATGCGCCTCCAGACGCTGATTCCAAATCTGCCTTCCAAAGCTGCTAAACGACTCTCCGAACACAGTTATGAAGCGTAATAGCTCAGTGGTGATGGTCCGGGGTGGAAGGTAAAAGCTCGTAGGATCGGTTCCTTTGCAAGTTTGTTGCTTTGCTTTTGTCCGCAACACTTCTAGAGACAAAAGCAAAGCAACAATTGCAAAGGAACCGATCCTACGAGCTTTTACCTGCCACCCCGGACCATCACCACTGAGCTATTACGCTTCATAACTCCGTTCGGAGAGTCGTTTAGCAGATTTGGAAGGCAGATTTGGAATCAGCGTCTGGAGACGCATCAGGAGGTATACATTTCATTTTAAACGGCCACTTCGACCTACCATCCTTCCCTTGTAAGTACTGTATTCTAGGGGAGTCCTTAGGTTTGTTCCAGCTGGGATAAATAACGGTCGAAGAAATCCTCGACCACGGTTCTGCACTGTGTGAGAATAGCGTTGAGAGTGAATGTCCACACGGGAAAGCGTGAGTGAACCGGCGAAAATCTTCCTGATTTCCACCAGCCATGCCTATCCTTGCTTTACGGCCAGCTTGTTGATCCCTAACTATCTAGAAGATCGAAAACCTTGACATGTACATAAGCGGCGCTGCAAGGGATAGATATTGTTATTACGTGAGTCGTTGTTTGGTATGTCGCTATGTAAACGCATGAGCCGACTTTTCTATCCTTTTGCAAAAACATTGTGGATGCAAAAGGCAGCATCGCCGGAAAACTCTATTGTCGTTAGCGGGTATACTGCCTATCGCATCTATAAGTCTTATATCAGTTATCAGCCCTATATCAATTTGTCTTACGGTATCAATCCAACATCGCTAAGATGGTGAAAGCACTTTTTTATTGTAGTCTTTAATAGGGTAGGAACATCTTTCCCCCGGCGCAAGGGTGTAGAAGCGTAGGGTAGACGATCATGAATTGTCTAGGAAGTAAGCAAGATGTGCGTGATGTAGGGCCTGAACCGGTTCTTATCAAGTGCACTTGAAATTACTGGTCTACCTACTATCTTATCCATAGGGTTAGAATCCAAAGGAATGCTACCTAGTAATAAGGAGATAAGAGGAAGCACCCCCTCCTGACTTGAGTTTCAGCGGTTAGCGTTAGAGTCCTTGGTTCTATGCGTCCGTGAAAGTGGCGTTTCCACTTTTAGTCTACGTAAAGAATCTACTTCCTACCACTACCAGCCAAGCTATCGGGTTATGCGAGAAACAGCGAAAAATCAAAATGTTCATGCAAAATCTGAAGGCTGCTGAATGCGGTTGTCACCCACATCATGAGATATTCTTTTGCCATAGTTTCTCTTCTTTATCAGCAGATATCGAGATATGCCTATGGGTATGGCTTTTGAAAGCTGTGTTAAGCCTGTTCATTGCACTGTGCACTGTTTCTAAACAGCTTCGGCAGATACTTGTTATTCAATGTGACAGGCCGACCGAGTTTGTGATTTTTTTCGAGGTTCTGGACCCTGGCAACTAAATAACCGTCTTTTATATGAAACACACTATCCATCGCCTTCACAGTACTCAGGCTTCTTGCCACGCCGCTTCATTGACGCGCTTCCTTGGTTCTAGGACAGGAGTACTCAAGCATGCTTTCAGTCAAATACGACCTTCCTTGCCATAATCGCTACAAAATACTACGGCTACTTCGAGAAGACCATCGAATATGGTTCACATACGTCTAACAACAAAGGCTCGAAAATTATCCCAGAAAATTTCACCACATTGGAGATGGCCAAAGACTTTTTAGACAACCTAGTAGTTCTTTTATGGTATTAGGTCGGTCCATATTTTTTGAGACTCTTCAGACGTTTTCGATTTGACCACTTATTCTAGTTTTCTAATGTAGTTATTCAAGTATGCATCACCATTATCCAACATGTCAACCA